TGGGCATGGAACCTGTCGGGCCCAGGTCAGCTTGTCTCTGAAGCTGTCTTCGGAGACAAGAGGGGCGGATCGAAGGGCAGGCATCCTCGAATATATTCTACGAGATTGGGATATAGGCTAAGAAGAAGGTCGGCAAATATATACAGGACACATTGGCCCAAAGATGGGAGAAAAATGGGCCCGGAGGACTTTGGAGTCTACCCAAAATAGCCTGGGAGACGGTTCTGGTGATTTTTTTCAACACAAGAGGGCCTCGACTGCCATGGCTCATAATTAGCACGCCTTTGCCAATCAACAAGTGGTTAGGCAGGCGCAAGGGCAAACGCCCACAGGATCCCTGGAGAAGACAAAACTGCACGATCTGTGACAGAGCGGAAACGGAGGACACTGTTCACTGCGTGCGGCTTTTAGACAGCGTGCCTTTGCTCACAGGTTTTCTAGGACACCTGCAGGAGGGCCCTGCGCAAGGATGACACACGTAAATTGAGAAATGGTCCAAAAAATGGGACAAGAAGCTTTGTAGGATTCTGACAGCGATACAGAGAAAGAAGATTAGCACGTGGGCCCTGCGCAAGGATGACGCACATAAATCGAGAAACGGTCCAACAACAACAACAAAAAAAAAGAGGATACTGAAAGGGCTAGTGCTATGGACGATCTGGAAAAGGCGGTGCAAGGAGGCCATACAGGGACAGACAAGTACAGAGGATGAGTCCCTGGTAGGGGCTCTTTCAGGGCCTAGAAATGGGCTACCAAACGTAACGGCACAGAGCCAGGAAGCAAAATCAGGGAGGATCCGACCAAACAGCAGGACATTATCACCAAAGTTGTGAAAGACAGTCTGGGGACTGGGGGGGAGCTTGGCTCTCTGGAGCCGACCAACCAGCGAGCCATGTTTGCGGTGGCGGGGAGAGAAAAGGGAATAATTCGACGGGGGTTGCTAGGTCAGGTCACAGTGGGTTGATCTCCACAAACGTGCGCATGGAGGTATACCAAGACCAGCGCAGCATGTTCTCTATTCGATTTTGCCGAATTTTCGCGTCGTTCTTCTTGCATTTGGTCCTCAGAGGTGCACAACGGGCACATTATGACGATTACCTGATATGTGTGCATTCTACCCAGTGGCTTTAATGAAATGACATGAAATAGGCCATATTTTTCTTATCATTTGATAACACATGCAGACGCACACAAGCACATGCAAGTAAGTTGTTTGGCTTGTACAAAGTGCTGCCAGTCCTTCGAGTCGAGCTGAGGTAACCCCTCAGAACCAGCCCTTCAGCTTCTATCAGATACAACGACGAGAACTCCTGTGCTGCAGCTTATGCTCTAGGAAAGGATTCACTGTCAGTCAAGCCCTCCCAAAAAATTCCCTTTCTCAAAGAAAAAAAAAACAAAAAAAAAAACATACCTCAAAAGTTCAAAACAGACCCCCCGTTTGACTTTTGACCTGAAGTGTTCAAGATACTTCCCCTATCTTTTTTCTTAAGACTAGTCTGGAAGGCCAGTGAAAAATTCACGTAAGCTGCTTACGTGTGCTCAGCCCACAGTATTCTTTAGTAAAAGGCGAAAGAATAATACGCCCACTTCATGAAGAGTTTTGCAGCTTTTGCTGGAATATATGTGAAGAACGTCTCTTTCCGTCTCCTTAAGCTATGTAAGGCACAGTATGCTGAGAGCAACGAGCATGAATGCCCGTGCATCAACCACAACAAAGTGCAAGGTTCTCCCATGCGCGCGCGCGCACGTGTGTGTGTGTGTGTGTGTGTGTGTGTGTGTGTGTGTGTGTGTGTGTGTGTGTGTGTGTGTGTGTGTTTTAGATTTTCCCACAACAGCCCCAAATCCACCCAGGGGAATAGATTCAGAATCAAAGAAGTCGTTGTCCTATTGCAGACAACGAGAGCATTTGAGATGTCCAACATATTAAAGCAATTTTATAATCAGACAGTTTTTTGGTTGTCCCTGGGGTACCCCTTTCATTGCTCTTGCAGCTCCCCTTTTACTGTGCCTCTTACGCACAAGGCTGCCCATGTTGATTGTGGTTGAGCGGCAGCTGCCCACATTCCCGTGTGCCTTCACGGCCCGCTTGCACGTTATTTCAGGAGGCAGAGTAAAAGGGAAGGTATGCTACTGTGCATCTCTGCAGAGCTTCATACTCCTGTTTATTTCACTTCAGATCTTCAGCTTATACAGTCTTTGTGTCCGTCCTTCGTCTTCATACTTCCGTTCATTTCATTTCTGATCTTCATATCGTCTGTTCTCTTAATGATGCTCATTCGTATGTATTTGTTAGTAGTACAAAGGGAGTAGAGGGGAGGGTGGAGGGTAAGGGATAGAAAGCGGAGTTCTATAGGAGTATGGGGCAGGGGAGGTAGGGGCACCGGGAAGGAAAGAAATATGTGGAGGGCAGGATAGAGTATGACATGCAAAGAGCAGGGGAGAGGTGGATAACGGGCTTCACAGATTTCTAAATATTCACCGCTGAAACAGGCTACTCTAGCAAAAAAAAAAAAACGAAAAAAAAAAAAAAAAAACACTACGGCAAGTGGCCACCCCTACAGACCAGTCCAGACTGGTTCGGGTGTGGGCTATGGAAGCACCACATCCAATTTTCGCAGTCACAGTTGCTGCATCGAATGGCACGGCGCAGACAGATGTCACAGGCTACGTGGCTCGTGCATGCTAGGAACACAGAGGCACGTCGACCGCAATTATAGAGGCATTGCTGTTCCAGCCCCTGTCTACAAATTGGACATGACATGTTGGGGTGCCGTACATAAGTACAGTACTGACTGTCATCGTACGTATGGAAGGCAAAACTCGCATGGACTATCCCTTCATAATCCTCACGGCAGAAGGCATGCGAACCACATGCTAGTTGAATCTCCGGTGGGTCATCACAAAACGGCATGGAGCATCTTTCTTGTGCTTCCTCAGTATGTATTCCTTCTCTATGGGCAGACGACAGCAGGGAGGATCGGTCCAACGCAAGGGCGTTCAGCTGCTGCAGGATATGATCCGCAACAGCTCGCCCTGGTGGTGATACACTATGAGCACATCGCTCTGCCGGTGGTTCATATAGAAGTCTATTTTCCTGCTCGGACTGCTGTGTTCGTCGTTCATCCCCAGGGGCTGAAAGAGCATCCATTCCTGGCTGAATGGGGCTCTGATCGATGCCTCGCAATTGCAGTTCAAATTGTTCCGCCTGGGCTGCAACTGCTACGTAGTGGAGTCGCTTTTTAAACCAACGCCCCGCGTCATAAAGATTAGTGTTCCAGTCATGATGTGCTACCCAATCAACTCTAGTACATTGTTGTGCATAGCGGTGATGAGAGGAAGAGCAAGGGGAGTTACCATGGAGAGGATCATGAGTAGGACGTGTAATTCATGCTGTGCCACTAGCACGGGAATTCCCGTTCAAGTCCCTTTCCTGATTCTCACCTTGTATCGTCAACATCATAGGTATGATATTTTTCAAAATCAGGAAATTCTCTTCAAGAAGTAGAAAGAGGGAGGGTAGCATAAGGGTAAGGCCACGGTCCAGGGTTTTAGGCCCGTCAGCTCAGCACGGGGAGGCTGTCGACGTCCCTTGCAGGAGGCACTTGCCACAAAGTCTCCCAAGCGATGGCTCGGCTAGTACACAGAATGCCTCCACCTGTGAGTGTGCTCTGGGCAACCGCCCTAGACACCGGGCACAGCAGGACTAGCTATTCTGTTACGAAGGACTGTCCGATCATCACCTCGAACTCTGTGTAAAAGGTTTATGTCAAGGAGAACGTCCTGCAAGGGTGAGATGAGTAGGAGTGTGTGTGTGTGTGTGTGTGTGTGTGTGTGTGTGTGTGTGTGTG